CCCTTCTGGTCCCAGTCTGCTTCCTGGATCCCACTATGTGCCTCAGGCCCCTCACTGGGCCTCACTATCCAGGCCCTGGGAACCATCTGGTCCTGCACTCCATTCCCGGCCCCCACTGGGACACCAGGCTCCTCTGGTCTCGCCATACTCACTGGGCCTCACTGTGATCCACCAGCCCCTCTTGCTAGGCCTCTGGACCCTCCCTGCCCCCCAGGGTCCACATGGTCTTCATTGCCAAGTGCATTTCTGTCAGGGTGCGCTCCCCAAGCCTTCTCCCTCCATGGGGTAACCCACAAGGCAGTGGGAGTTGAGGCTTTCTTGTGCCCCCTCCTCACCTTGCCTTGGAGTGGCTCGTGTGGCATTTCAAGAGGGCTGCCCCACCACAGGTAGCCTCACCACGCTAACCAGCTCCAGTAAGGTGCAGTTTCAGATCTTACCCAGGACAGGTCTTCAGGCCTATTTGATCTTGCTCATCTCTCTCTGAGCTTCCCCTTGATGTCCTACCCCCTCCTGGGCTGCTAACTACCAGGTCCCCTGGCCCTGGCTCTATCTCTGGTCCCAGCTCATTCTTGGACCCATGTTCTCAATGACCCTCCTTTTCAGATAACCTAGCACCATCCATCATCATCCTGGGCTACCTGCTGCTTGACCCCTCCCTCTTGGCTGTGCCCCTCCTACCCCCTACCCCCCACAGGGACTTTCTAGCCTCTCCTAGGCCCTGGCCCTGCCTCCAGGCCAGTCAAGACTCCAATCTTCCAGTTCTTGTAGTCTCTTGCAGTGGGCTATTTCACCCGTCAGCCCTTCCTGGGCCCTGGCCCCAGCTTGGACTAGTCGAGGTTCCCAGGGTCAGTCCTGCAGCTGCCAGGCCCCTCCCCTCCATAGATCATTTGCTCTCTCTCTGGGCGCACCCGGAGCCCTCAACAGGTCCCTCTTCGCAGCCCCTTTCCTTCTCTGGGCTCATCCAGGCCTCTCAATAGGCCCCCATGCTCACTACACTCACCCAGCTAGAATTCAGGAGCTGCAACCTTCCTGCTGGGTGATGTTCCTTCACCAACTCCCAAGATGTTATTCCCAACCCTGCCTCCAGGCTCTGGGCCTATACCCAGTCTAAGCCCAGCCCTCTTCC